TCGGGGCCTCTCAGACTGCGTCCGGATTCCTCTGGACCCCGCAAGGTCTCTCAGGATTCCTCCTGGTCCCTTGCAATACTGGAGGATGCCCCTCGATTCCTAGGAATGATACAGAGTCCTCCAGTACCATTCAGGATTCCGCTCGGTTCCCCATCAACCCTTTTGGCTCATCGAGATTATCCCTTACTCAGCGGGATGAGTTTGGTCTCCACAGGAGGAGGCATCAAGTTCGCTTTAAAGGTTCCATGTGGTTCCTCTCGCGGCGTCGCAACTGTGTCGTAACTCCTGAGGCCTCATGGAGCCAACGGTGGCCTCCTGGGGCTCCATGAGACTTTCTGCTGCCCCATGGTGCTCCTGGGACTCCCCGGGGTCCTCTAGGGCCCCCTGTGGTTTCTTAGGGGTTGCTGACACTCGCTGAGACTCCCTATGGTTTTCTCTGGTTTGCGGGAGCCCCCTGCGGTTCCCTGGGGCTCCTCCCTGGGGCCGCCTGACGCATCCTGATCACTGGAACTTTGAGGGGCCTCCTTGGGCTCTTTGGGGCTCCCTGAGGGTTCGACATTCCCTGGGCGCTCTTAAAATTGCCCGAGACTCCTCCTCCTCCTCCTCCTCCTCCTCCTCCTCCTCCTTCTCCTCCTCCTCTCCCGGGGGGCCCCGGCGCCTCCGGCCTTTCCTTCACTAGAAAGCCACGGAGCCCCCAAAAGCACTGCCAGGCGCGCAGAAGACCACCATCATGAAGGGAAACTGGGACACACAAAAAGATACACACAAATAAAAATATTCCCCATATTTTCCCATATTTTCTGGGTTTTTGTCTTCCCCCCCACTTCCCATATTTTCCCATATTTTCTGGGGGATCGACGATTAATTGTGTCTGTGTGTTTTTCCCCTCCTGACTTTTCTAGAAAGCAACGGAGCCCCCAAAAGCACTGCCAGGCGCGCAGAAGACCACCATCAATGCGCGGCCCCTGCTGGATCGCTCCCCCCCGGGGGTCGGCCGCCCAGCCGGGCGGCGACAGGGGCCCTGGGGCGGCGCGCCGCCAGGCCGCCTGAAGTGGGAGGCGCCGCATTCGCGGGGATAGTGGAAGTGCGAGGAGCAGGGGGGACGAGGGGCAACCTCAGCCCCTGCTCCTGATCGGCCTGCCCCTCTGTGGCGCCCTCGAGTGAAACTGGGGCGGCGAGGGCCCACGAGGCCCCCACGCTTCGCTGCCAAAGCCATCGCAGACGCGAGCGTCGCCGGGGCTCCGCCAAAAAACCATCGCCCTCGCGAGCGCCGCCGGGGCTCCGCTCGCCCGAGGCGGCGGAAGCAGGTCTGGATCTTCTGCAGCGCCCCCTGCGGCTGCGCGCCCGCCTGCCCCTGCTCCTCGCGCGGCGGCTTCGGCGCCTCGGACGCCCCGCTGCGCCCGGGAGGCGCGGCCTCCGCCTCCGTGCTCTTCGCCGCCACCCGGGGCCTCTCTCTTCGAGGATCTCCTCGTCGGCCTCGGCCTTGGCAGCCCCGCCGCCCGTGGAGACTGTGCCCTTGCACGCCGAGGCCGCCGCGCCGAACAGCCAGCAGCACGTCTCCTCGCAGTTGCGCCCGAGGACGTTCGGCACGCCGCGAGAGAAGCCGAAGCAGCGGCCCTCTGAAGTCGAGAAGACGTTCCAGACGAGATTCCGAAGCCCATCTGCAGCGAGGTGGTCGCGCAGCTGACGCGGGAGCGCGCCTTGCCGAGGTTGCGCCAGCCGCTCTCCGGCGAGACGGCGAACCTGCGCGCCGAGGCCCGCGGCGAGCAGGTCGCCTCTTCGGCCTCGGGCGCGGCGCGCGGCGCGGCGGCCTCATCCTCGGGCAGCTCGGCGTCGACGGGCGTCTCCCCGCGATCCCAGGCGGCCTGCTCCTTGCTCTCCTCCTCGCCCGCCGCGGCCAGCGAAAACCTGTGCGCGCTGACGTGGCGGAGGCCATCGCGCTCGCGTCGGAAGCAGTCCGTGGTCAGTTTGTACTGGTGCTGCACGGAGTCGTGCCAAACGCTCCAGAACCTGCAGTGGCCCACGCACCTCGTGCGGCAGTCCTCCCAGCCCATGGTTCGGCGACTACAATGGGTGCGCTTTGCGAAGGGTGCGGTTTGCCTACCATATCTGCCCCTCCCGCCCCCTGGAAACGGATGACACTGCCACTCAATGCGAGCGAATCACATGACACTGTCGCTCCTTCTGATACAATGGAGCACGCATCGAGGATGACAGTGTCGCTCGAAACGACGACAATTACGACATTGTCTCTCACAAAGGCCCCGGAAAGGCCGCCACAAAGCAACTCGGAAACCGCACCCCGGCGTAACCGCAACGATTGCAGTCGCCGAGTGGCGGGCCCCTCGTAGATCGCCGGGCCAGCGCACAGGCCCGTCTGCCCAGTCGGCGCCAGCTGGCGGGGCTCTACCTGTGGCATTCTGCGCCTTGTTTTACACGGCCGCGGCCGCGGAGGCCGCCTCGGACGCGGGGTCGAGCCAGTTGTCGAGCACCTCTGCCCTCTTGACATCCGTCTCGCCCTCGGCGGCCACGAGCTCCTGGAGCACCGAGTGGGCATGCTGCGAGGCGACCCGCTCCCAGGAAGGCGGCTCCTCGCCGAGCTCGAGCACCGCCGCGCGGCTGTCCGCCGCCGGGCCCAGGTCGATGTCCACGACGCGGTGGCCAGCTCTCTCCTCCTCCTCCTCCTCCTCCTCCTCCTCCTCCTCCTCCTCCTCCTCCTCCTCCTCCTCCTCCTCCTCCTCCGTCGGAGCCAGCACGTGGCGAGCCGGCGCTGCCGCAGGGGCACGGATGGCCAGCAGGGCGGCCGCTGCCGCGGGCGAGCGCTGGAAGGCTGGTCTGATGATCGGGGAGGCCGAGCGGAAGCCTCGACCTCTGGCGGGTATAGGCGCGGCACGGAGAGTGGGAGCGTTTGATCCGGAGAGGATTGGGCCAGAGCGACTTGAGCCAAAATGGCTGCGGAGGGGGCCTCCGGCGGCTCCTCGGGATTTCCTGGGGCTTGATACATTTTCTTGGAGGTCCCCTGTTTTCCCTGTGGCTTCCTGGAGTTCCCTGTGGTTTCCTCGGGCTTCGAGAGGCCTCGAGCCTCATAGGATCTCCTGGAGTTCTTGGAGGCCCCTGGGGTTCCCTGGGGCTTCTGGAGCATGTGGCGAGCTCCTGTAGCTCCCTGGAGCCCTTCCTGCAGCCTCCTGCGGGTTCGTAAAGGCTCCTCGGGCTCTCTGGAGAGTTCCCCGGGATGGACCAGCTTGTGGCCAGGTTCCAGGAAGCCTCTGGCGCCCCCTAAGAGTGTTTCAAGACAAGTGGACTCTTAAGGCACCATCCTGCTCCCCCGCCTCATGGTAAGAAGTTCCGGAGAGGGAGGAGGAGGGCGGAGGAGGGAGGAGGAGGAGGAGGAAGAGGAGGGAGGAGGAGGAGGGAGGAGGAGGAGGAGGAGGGAGGAGGGAGGAGGAGGGAGGAGGAGGAGGAGGAGGAGGAGGAGGAGGAGGGAGGAGGAGGAGGAGGAGGAGGAAGTAACTTCTGCTGTGCTACGCACACAAGGGAGGAAGGCGCAGCCCGCCTTCCGCACCGCCAGAAGGCGCGTCGGCTAACTTCCGCCCGCTGACGTAGCGCACATGGCACTCACTCCGCTGAGCGCTCTGGCCAGCAATCGCTAGCTGCATGGCGATAGTCGGAAGCGGCGCTGCTCCGGAGAAAAAAGAGAGAGCGAAGGAGAGAGGAGAGAGAGAGAGAGAGAGAGAAACAAAAAAAAAAAAAAAAAAGGCAAGCAAGAGCGAGGAAGTGTGAGAGAGAGAGAGAAAGAGAAAGAAAGATAGAGAGCAGGTCATCGATGCCCTGGGAGGGGGTCCACCACGTGGGAGCACGCCACCTTCACTGCCATGGCCCTGTGGCGCACGCGGGGGGCAGGCGTCCCTCACAGCGCTTTCGACTCCACCCGCCGCGGCCTGCCGCAGGCGGTGCGGAGCGCCCCCTCCAGGCTTGATGAGGCGCGCCTCCGACGGGTGGTAATAAAAAGACGCAGGGCGTCACCAAGGTGCCCCGGAGGAAGGAAAGAGAGGGAGGGGGGGAGGAGGAGGAGGAGCACCGAACGTCGCACCTCGACCACGCGCCCTCCGGGCAGCCTGGCACAATGATCCAATGACGGAGGAGGGTGGGGAGGAGGGGAGGATGAGAAGGATGGGAAGGATGTGAAGGATGGGGAGGAGGCATGGGGAGGAGGATCACTCTCGCCGAGCGTCGCTCGCAACCACGAGCCAACAACCTAAATTGCACGCCAAAGCTCAAGCCTGCAGGCAGCGCGATCGAGATCCGCATGTGATTGGTATAGCCATGGGGCTGAGACCAGATCAGGGTTTGGGGCTGCGCGTGTGTGCGGGCATGTGTTTCGGGAATTCGTTAGGGTGTGAGTCAGGGAATGGGTGTCAGCATGAGTACTGTTACCAGTATCGGTGATTGTCTGATGAACGCATAATGTCTGAGAATGGTTGGAGGCATCCATGTGGGCTCGGGCCGTCGGCGTATACATGTCTACATACATGTGTGTAAAGAGAAAGAGAGATACCAATGAACATATACAACAACATATAGATGAGCATACACATGTATATAATAATATGCACGCGAAGGGTCATGAGCCAAGTGCAAGGAAAAAGGCAGTACTTAAGAAGGACATGAACGGAAATGTGCGTACGATTGCTGGCATGGGTATTTGTGTACGCCGTGCATGCAAATGAGAGGGGTATGAGCATTTTAACGGTCTTCAGCCCGAGCAGGGGTATGGGCGTCTGATTGCGAGGGCATGCCGCTGGCATGGGTATGGGCACAGCTATGGACCTTGGCGTTGATATGTACATTTGAAGTGTAAGACTTCTGGTCTGCGCACGGGTGAGGGTATGATCACGGAAGTGGGTATGGGCGCGGGTATGGGTATAGGTACGTGTACGGGTGATAATGGGCACGTATACAAGCATTGCATGAGAGTAGAATGGGTATAAGTACGTGTGATTACGACGTTCGACATGAGTGGAGGTCAGAGTACGGGTGATGCCTCTGACGCAAAAGACCGTCTTCATGTACAGGTCGCCGTGCCTTGCCGTGCGTTTGCAACGCAGGCCAAATAGATCCACCGCATGCAAGTCCTCCAAGAGTGCATCGTCTTGAACGCCCCGTTCACTTTACTTTACGTCTTCATCCCAGCCTCGCCGAGAGCCGAGAGGCTCTCCTCAATAACGGTGCCGATGTCAGGCAGTCTTGATATGTCTGACAAGCCCGACTCTGGGCACGCGTCTGCTACAGCTCTGTGTATGTCAAGAAAGGCACCGTTGCACACATGCGCTGCCTTCAGGGCGTTGCCCTTGATCTCATCCAGCCCAATGTGCCGTGGAGGGCCCCGAAGGGTAAACCATGCCTTGTGCATGGCATGAAGTAGCTGCATAGCGTTCACATCAAGTTCCTCGAGCCGCTTCCCACTCTCCGCAGCGTCGTCCTGACGAAGCTCACCAAGCATCTCATCAGGCGTGATGTTGATATCATCGTTGCGTGTCAGCCGCTGAAGCTCGTCAACAAAATGGCCCTCCTCTGAAATGCATAAATCATTTAATTCTTTGCCGATTTCCTTTGCTCTTGCGCATGAAATATTCCATCGGCCTGCTGACTGCTTGACGAAGGCGTTGCGCAACCGATTTATTCGCTTAAATTTGAATATCCTCCGTCCCTTCTGCAAAGGTCATCAAGCGTCGAAAGTCCGGGTTTGGCAGCTGCGCAAATCATGCCCTACCAACGCCGTGTCGCAAGTCGTGGCCCTGTTATCCGGGCCTCCGCTAGTTGGCAACCATGACCTTTTCTGCAAGCATTGGGCAGGCATCGCAAGTGTCCTAACTTATACATATATGTGTGTGTGATACGTGCATCTGTGTTGCATACAAACAAACGATCCGTGTCGAAACGCCAGTGGCCCCCTGAGCCCTCCAAGCGGGCGGGCGGTTTTGCAAGCAGTCGACACGGCGCATCCCGATGGGCGGATCGGGTGGCGGGGATCAGGCGGGCCCGCCCCGACGGGCGGGTCGGGCGGGCGGACCCTGCGGGTCGGGCGGGCGGGACAGCCCATCAGGATTCCTCTGCAGTTGCGTGGGGGGTCAGGCGCAAGCACGATCCGCACGCAGGGCCACGAGCGCGCGCAGCTCCGCCTCGCCCGCACGCGCGTCGCGCGCGCGAAGCGAGGCGATCTCCTGCCCGGGGCACCTCGCGCTTCGCGGCGTCGCCCCATGCCGCCCCAGCCTCGGGTCGGGGCACAGAGGGCCTCGACGCAGGCACGGCTCCAGAGCGAACAGAGAGCGCGAACCCTGAACAGGTGACTCGCCATCGGTCGGGCGCCCATTCCCCGTGCACGTTTCGGTGTCGTGCGTGCTTTTTGCCGTGCTCGGTGATCCAGGATGCTCCGCGATGGTCCTCGCCGAGAAAATGTACGCGTCCGAGCGATGCCAAGGTAATTGGAGAGGGTCAAGCGGGAGCACGACTTCGCAGTGAACTGCGAGGATGACTTGAACGAGATGGCGACTCCTGAGCATGCGAGGAAGTCTTCAGCGGGCGCCGTTGTTTGGGTAGTCCGGGGGCCAACAGTGCAGTTTAAGTAAGAATGCCTTCCTTAACAGGTTGGAAAACACCATGACCACCTGCGAGGAGGATCAACAATGACCATTTCTCCTGCAATGAAATCGCCTGACAGTTCGCTCGACCCGAACGCAGAGAAAACTGTCCACAGGAACACTTCCTGTGCGTGAGGGGAGGAGGAGCGAAAAAACGGGAGAGCGCCCTGGAAAGCGAAAGCGGCAAGCAGTGTTGCGTTAAATCCCCCTGGCGGCCCCAAGCGGCCAGTACTATAGTCCAACAGCACCTGAGATGGGAGTGCGAAGAAGAGGAGGAGAAGAGGCCGCGGCGCTATGCGGAGTCCCCTGCGGCCCAAGCGGCCACTCAGAATGCCCCAAAACCGCAGAACGGCATCCCAGAGGGGAAGAAAGAAGAAGGAAGAGAAAAAGAAGGACGAGGACGCGAGGAGGAAAGAGAGAGAGAGAGAGAGAAAAAAAAAAAAAAAAAAAAAAAAAAAAACTCGCGGCTCACAGGCTGGGTTCAAACGTGGCCCAAAAGGCTGCGGATATGCTGCGCCAATGCATCTCCCCTGGCCTCAGTGGCGTGCGATACGAAACACAGTCCTTAAGCAAAGCGGGGAAGGCGGAGAAGAAAGATGAAACACTCCACAAGCAACTTCAGAGGCAACTCCGACCTGCGGACGCTGAAAGCTCGCTGAGAAATAGGAGCCCGTCCAGCAGGAGAGTGCCCGCTTCTTGCACGCGTACAACTGCGAGCACACCGAACCAAGCCTACGGCAGGGAGGGGGGGAAGGAGGAGGACGGGGGAGCAGGTAGGAGACGGAGGAGGGAGCGCGTGCCAGCCCATCCATTCTCAAGTCGGACCCCCGGGTGCCTGGTGCCCGTCACGCTTCTCGCTCGTGGTCGTCCCATTCGTGCTGCCACACTGGGGCGTGCCGCTTGTCGGACGGATCGTGCCACTCTTGGGTGCCAGAGCTGCCCGTGCCGTGCGGGCATGACAGGGTCCTGATCCTGCACAGCGCCGCGATGCCGTGCAATGACGCGGTACTCGTCACCCTCTTCGCGCCACTCGCGGATGCTGGAGCTGTGGTGCAGTTCCGTGGCTCGACGCGCGGGGCCCGAGCCTGTGCTGGAATCGGCGGCTCCAGAGGCGCAGGGGCGACAGGCGGAGCAGGAGTCGGCAGGAGACGGAGCTGACGCTGGGGTCGGCGTCGAAGCCGGCGTCGGCCCGCCTATGACCCGGCTGTCGGATCGGGAGTCGGAGCGGGAATCGAATCTGGAAATGGGGCTGGCGATTAGGACAGGGTAGGTGAAGGATTAGCGGTCGGAGCGAGCACGGAAATTTTGAACTGCCCGCATTTCCGCCCTGGGGTGGTCAGCGCCGCGGTGCTGGATCCGATCATGGTGTTCAACGTCGTGATGCGGGTGCGTGTCCTGTTGCTCGGAGTCGAACTGCTGGAGCCCGTCGTTCTGCTCAGCGTCGTGCTGCAAGCAGCCGGGCTTCGCACTCCTTGGTATGGAAATTGCCAGTGCTGCACCTGTCGTGCTGGTCCCCAGGAACTGGTGTTGGTGCTCAGCGTCGTGCTGCTGGCGTCTGTCGGTGTTGCCCAGCGTCGTATACGTCGTGCTGCTCAGCTCCGAACTGCAGCATCGATAGGGATGCTGGTGGACATTTCCGCCGCCTCCGAAGGTATACCCCCTCGCGGCCACGATTGTCTTCGCCTGCTCGTCGTTGCGGTGCCGCCGGTTGTCGCTGCTGCCGGTGATGTTGCTGCAGCGAGCTGGACGTGGCGGCGTTGTCGACGGTCGTCGTAGGTGTCGCCGCGTAACTGGCAGCCGTCCCAGTGCCGGGCGACGTGCTGCTGATGCTAGGACTCTTATGGATGCCGCAGTCCAGGCCGAAAGGTGTGGCGCCAACAAGCTGTGTTCGTTTTTGTGGCGGTGGTGGCTGGAGGAGAGGAGTAGTGGCGACGGCCGTGGCGGCGGTGTTGGGAAAAAGGGGTACTGGTGGTGGCCGAGGTGGGGCAGGTACTGGTGAGCGTGCACGGTTCCCCGAGAGCGTACCACGAGGGCCCCAAGTGGAGGTTTGCCTCCTCCTCCTCCTCCTCCTCTTCCTCCTTCTCCTCCTCCTCTTCCTCCTCCTCCTGCTCTCCTCGTGACCTGAAGAGGCCCTCCAAGGCCACCCCCTTTGCTCCAAGAGATCTCTCTGTTCATCCCGGTTGACTGCGTTGTTTCACTATATTTGTCTCTTCGTCCCTTTTCCTGCTAGCTCTCATGGGCAACGTTTCTAGACGGGTTGGTGGGGATGCGCGAAGCGTGAGGAGTACACTGGAAGGTCGCAGTCGAAAGCGAGATTCCTCCGCGCATTTCAAGGATGTCTCTAGCGAAAACCCGAATATCTCAATACACTTGGAGGACGTATCAGGCGGGAGCCGCTGTTGCCGGAAACCAGGGACCGACAACACAGTCTTACGCGCAAGAGTTCCTGATAAAAAATACCTGCGAGCTCCAAGAGGGGCAGCTCAAAAGACAAAAAGGACAGGGGAGAAGATCAATCATACTTGTTATCCGTATCCTAAAGTGGGGTTCTTGTTATTACTGGGACGCCTCCGCCTCGCGGTACTCGCATCCTGTTCTCACATCATAAGACAACGCAGAGTGGAGCCCCACCCCTCTCAGACTTACTCACAATCATAGTCAGACTCAGACGCACTCACACTCAGACTTACTCATCCCTCCTCTCCGTATCCTTCTTATCCTCCTCCTTCCCGCCACCTCCTCTCTCCTCCTCTTCTCTCCTCGCCTTTACGTTGTCATCACACTCAGTTCACTCGCACTCAGACTCGCTCACACCAAGATTCGTTCACGCTCATACCTAATCATAATAAGGCTCAACCACACTACTCAGCATCGCTCTTACCCTTACTTACTCATGCGCATGCTCACTGCCACGCAGACTCAATCACACTCGGGCCTACTCACTCTCAGACTGACTCGCACCAAGACTCACTCGCACCGCGATGTGTAAGCAGGCGTGGCTCTTGGGCACCCCCCCAAGGAGAGCTGCCAAGGGGTGCTGGACTCCCCCGTTCGCGCCCGGATTGTGGGGCTGCCTCGCGCTGTTTGCTTGATTCGGCGCCGCCGACACCTCTCTTCCAATGGCCCAGTGCTCGCCGCGAAGAAGGAGGCGTAACATTTGGGCACCCAAGGGGTGGGCCGCCAGGGGGTGCTGCACACCCCCCTGTTCGAGCCCAGACTGTGGGAGTGCCTCGCGCTGCTTACTTGTCTCGGCGCCGCCGACATGTTTCCTTTGGTGGCCCAGTGCTCACCGCGAAGGAGACAGAGGAAAAGGTGGAAGGGGGCGGAGGGGGTCGGGAGAGGGACGCGCAGGTGGCCCTCACGCAGCGCTGGGCCCACACGTCGTCGTCGTCGTCGTCGTCGTCGTCGTCGTCGTCGTCGTCGTCGTCGTCGTCGTCGTCGTCCACTCGGACTCGCTCTCACACCGAGACAACCGCTGCCAGACTCTCATAGCGGGATCTGTGCTTCGAGCAATCCTTTTGAAGTGAAAGTAAAGCAACAACCACTTTACCAGAATGCTCTATGCAACATCATCATGAGAACTCCCCCCTTCATGAGGGAATCATTTTACCCCGATCTCACGCCCAAAAACGTTTTGCCAACACATCTTTCGAGGCACTTGACCATCTTCAACTCAAACATTTGGGGCCTCCGTTGGACAGGGCTGTCTTGGGGCTCTCTTGGGCCGCCCTTGGGCCTCTCGGGGCGCCCTTGGAAATTGATCGACGCCTCTTCGGAGCCCTTCTGGCGCCTCTGCAAAGGTCTTTCCAGAACCCTTCAACGAAAGCCCGGAAGCCCTCCGGCGGCGATGCCGAAACGAGGGCTCCATTCTTGAATGAAAAAACAGGAAACATCGAGCGGGAGCATCGGTGTTGTAAAATCGCTGGCTTGCGGACCAAGGCGCGAGCCCCAGCCCTGAATCAAAAGCGAAGGACTATCAAGCAGGAGCGCTGATCTTGTTGGGGGGTGGTTTTCGGCGGCGGGCAAGAGCGCCAGTCTTGAGCAAAAAAACGAATGTGCGTCGAGCGGGAGCGTGGTTGTTATAGGGAGACCAGCTTGCGGACCCAAGGCGGAACCACCACTCCTGGGTAGAAAACGAAGAAATATCAAGCGGGAGCCATGGTTTTGGAGGGCTGGTTTTCGGCGGCCAGTAGGAGCGCAAATCAAGAAGCCATACGCCCATTGGCGCGTGGGCTTTTTTCCGTACTCGACACGTGAGGCTGCCTCAGCTCGCCGCCGCGCGTCTGGTTCGCCGCCTCCCCATCCGCACTACCCCGAGTTCTATCCCCTTCGCGGCGCGCCGCCTATGAGGAGAGGGTCTCATCCTGCGCTACTCGCAGCAGCGTAGGGTTTGGTTCGTCACCAGTCTATAGCTTGTCCATCTGTCTACTCGTTCGTGGCCCTGCTCCCGATGAGTTCCAGGGCATGGCACGCGTCGCCTCTCCGTCTAACTGGCCTGACCTACTTGCTGGTGCGCTGGCTCCAAGACTT